GAATGATTAAATGTCCTGTAGGCAACAGCATAATTATAGTTGTATTCTTCACTGCACACAACACAGTTTCCGAGTACCAGCACCAGAGAGCTACTGTTGTTAAGAATACCGATGTGCACCCAGATGTAGTGATGTGCACTCACGGACTGCTCTTGTGTAGGACGAGGCTTGGGTTTTGTGTACCATCATGGTAACGCACCACAGTCTGTAATTTTACTTCCAGGGGATCTGATAACCGTCTGGCTTCTATGTGCACCAAGTTCTCACATGGTATGCATTCAGGCCAATACTTAGACACAGAAAAAGTAAATATCTTCTTTTAAAGAATACTTAATTTGGTTTAGAGAATCACACAATTCTTTTTGTTCCTAAGGTGGGTATATTAATCTGTTAGATAACTAAAGTAATTATTGTTCAATATTGATATCACCTACTCTTCTCTTTGGTATAATTATGCTTTTCTGGCTTTATGTAACATTATAAAATATAGAATCAATACTGAGATCTAATCTATCCCCCTTTTAGGTAACCTATTTTAGTGTTTTTTAGTCTACTCTTTAAAACATGAGAAATTATATTGTCTTCCTCTCCTCTGTGACTTCTTTTTTGTCCTTGTATATGTTTATTGCACACCTGCTATAAGTTGTCTAATAACTTTTGTGGATACAGGACTGAAAAAAAAATCAAGCCCCATCATCCGGCCCCACAACACAGCTTCCTGAGGCTTAATGGCGGGGTTGTCATTATTTGTCAGGCAAGCCTGCAGGTCTGTAGTGACTGGGAACCTTGTCACTGCTGCCCCATGTGTTAACTTTCTGGCCAGCCATGTATTCCTCCTGTCCTCAGCCACGGCAATGAAAGTGCTCTCTTGCATCATCTTAATCGGGGGCACTTGGATTTGGCCAGCACTTCCATGAATATGTCAGGAGCCTTAAATTCTTGTAGATATCCTCATGCACTGGCATATCCCAGACTCTGCAGATTTTACTCTCCATTTCTTCAGCAAACTCTGTCTGTTGCTCATCATCATCCAGGCTGGACTTGGCATCTTCAGGTGTGACAATCTGGATGAGTCCACTGAAGATGCTGAAGAGCCAGTGCTTGCTGTAGACGGTATTCCCAATTCAGTCTCCCCGGCCAAGTCCTTATCCTCCTGGTTGCAGCTAGGTAGTGGAGGCAATGTGTTGTGGTCCATTCTGGCGCCTATGAGACACACCAGAAGCCCCCCTCTGTGACTTCTTACACAGACACATACAGACACACACACCACACACCATGCCACATACACACACACTGCACACATACTACACAGGGCATTTCACACACGCCACACACTGCCCATACACACTGTACACACACCGCACACACACTGCATACATGTACACACACTGCGTACACACTGCATACCACATTGCACCCACACATCCCATACATACACTACACACAGTGACACACTACATGTGTACACACACAGCAGAAATCTATAATATTCCATATGTTTCCTCCTTAAATGTGTCCAGGTGATATATTCATATACACAGCTTTAAAATTTGAGTCTTTTAAATTTGTTTTTGAGAATTTCGTATATGCCGTACACAGCTTTTTAAATGGTGCTGTCACAGGGAGTACCATCTAACAAAAACCTAAAATCAAAATGAGAAACGGGGTTTAAATAGTGTCGCAGATGTAACCAAAGTTCATCTAGGAAAGGAAAGTGAACCTTAGGACCCTTGGCTTTAGTGGCTTGGGAGAGGTGGGTCCTGTGCTATAGACAAGAAGTTTTGGTAACCAAATCCTGAACCGTGCTATCTGTCACAGTATTCATTTTCTTTTGAGACTGCATAGGGACAGGCATCATGGCCCACGCCTTTAATCCCAGCACTCAGGAGGCAGAGGCAGGTGGATCTCTGTGAGTTCCAGGACAGCCTGGTCTACAGAGTGAGTGCCAGGACAGCTAGGCCTACATAGAGAAACCCTATCTAAAAAAATTTTAAATAAATAAATAAATAAATAAATTAGAGAGAGACTGGATAGTTCTAGCTCCTGAGAAGGCGTCAAACTTAAATATTTCTATAATATGGAACAAAGTATAGGAATAATGATTTGAGTTAGATTGATGTTGTTTTCTGTACATTTAAATGTAGCATAGAAGAATAATAGCAATTCTGTGGTGCTTGTGTGTGCTATTTCCTGTTACTTGTGGCATCTGAGATGTAAAGAATGCCTTTACCGGAACTCATGAGTCAGAGCAGGAATTCCATGTCCACTGATCTATATGGCAAGACTCTCAAAAGTAATGTTTGGAATCAGTCTAAATTGTTTCAGTGACTTTGTTTAATAAAGTTGTTGGTACATGTCTCTGAGTTTATGAAAATAATTTTTCTAAAGTTGCATTTATTTCAATGTGTTTATTAAATAGAGCATTGAAAAGCAAGTGACAATGAGCATTCCTTCACACACAACAGAAGGTGAGTAAGAATGACCCACAGTGAAAATCCAGTCCTTCAAACCCTGCCGTGCACTGTGTAGACAGACAGCTGTCTGCTCTGCTTCAAAGATGGGCCTGCATTCTGCTGCTGTGTCTGTATGTCCTGAGCCCGTGAGGCCATCTCAAAGACGTACTAGCCTGGTTCTCTTTCTGAGAGCCTGGTGTCTGGCTGAGGTGGCACTTCACTCATCTACTTCTGTGAATCGTTAGGATCCAGAGTGGCCCTTCATCCTCTGTGCTCCTTGCCATGCTGAGGGCATCCTAGGCGATAGAACTCTCCAGTCTAGCAAGTCAAACACATGCTTTCGTTGCTGAGGCTGAGGTCCCCACTGCTGCGAAACCACCAGGGACTCAGATAATGCTTTTAATTCTTTTTCTTCAGCTCTGGAAGAAGAGCTGTTCAATACAATTTTGATTGGGACCATTGCATTATTTCAAAACTTGACATTATGTAAGATATTGGTGATTTTTTAGTTCAAGATTGTAAAATTTAAAGTCACATGAACTTGTTGGCACTGTGTTTGTACTAGGGCAGTGCACAGAAGTGAGTATACACCACGCTCTCACACATGCAAAAGAAAAGGTCAGAAGCCTTCTTGGTCCTTAACAGTAGTCATGGGAGCAGAATAAATGTGTTACTGTCATGTTTACTCCCCCAAGAACATACAGAAGTCCAGTCAATGTCTTTGCTGTCCCATGTTTATTTGTGAATGGTTGTGTGGATAAGTTTGTTTCTCTTTAAGTAGATTCCATGATTTATATTTTTATCTTTTGTGGTTTTCTTAGTCCTTCTTGGTGAAGCGTTCTTGTACATTGTTTACAGGAGAGACTATTATCTTACGGTACTGCCAGGCAAACATCCATCCTGATAGTAGCCCACAGACTGCAGTTGCTTTTTTCTTTTCTTTTTGAGCCACGGTGTCCTGTAGCTCAGGCTGGCTTTAAACTTGCTGTGTACCGGGAATGATCTTGAACTTCTGATCCTCCTGTCTCCACCCCCCGAGTACTGAGATTGTAGACATGCACTACCAGGAGAGTCAGGCATTTTCAGGCATGTACCACTGGCTTTCTGTATGCTGGGCGAACAGTCTACCAACTGAATCATATCCTCAATTCTGCAATTAAATGCTCTTAAATATAGCCAACAATAACATCATAATTGCTTATCTTGAACTGTTTTAGTTTAAAGTAAGTGAGGTGTAATGAGATCATTTAAAGATGTGACTCTACTCAGAGAACATTGTATAAGAGGGGAAGGAAAGGATTGTAAGAGCCAGAAGTGGAGAAAGACCAGGCTGAAACTAACTGTCTCCTGAACAAGGCAGGTCTGCTGTGCTCATGAACTCGCAGCAGTTGTGGTTGCCTGTATAAGATCGGAACAAGATCAAACCAGTCAGCTTCACACCACAGAGGAGAAGTTAGGCGTTTAAAAGAGATATGAACCCCAGTATGTGGTGGAATATTAGTTTAAGATGTGTTACATTAGTTTATGCTATGGAACATTTGTGTAATGATGCAAAGATGTGTTGCATTCTTTTATGTTGCATTCATTTAACTCTGTGAAGCTGTGGTACTTTGCCTACAACACCTGATTGGTCTAATAAAGAGCTGAATGGCCAATAGCTAGGTAGGAGAGGGATTGGTGGGACAGGTAGAAAGAATAAATAGGAGCAGAAATCTAGTGAAAAGAGGAACAAGAAAGGGAGGAGAGGAGTATGTTGGAGGTCAGCCACCCAGACACCCAGCCAGCCACAGAATAAGGAGGAAAGCAAGATATATAGAATAAAGAAAGATAAAAAGCCCAGAGGCAAAATGTGGTTAAAGAGAAATGGGACAATTTAAGTTGCAAAATCTGGCAAGAAACAAACCAAACTAAGGCCAGACATTCATAAGTAAGAAAAGCATGTATTTCGGGAGATGAGTGGTGGGCCCCCAAAGAGAAAACCAAAAACAAAACCCCCAAAAACTACACCAGCAGGTTAGCCCTATAGTCATGCATATGTGAGCAGCACAAACTGGATTCAATAGTATATAAAGGGGGTGGGGGCACATGGGGTTGTGAGGGAGTTGTATAGATGAGTCTGGGAGAGATTAGTGGAAGGAGTAGAGAGTGAATGTCATCAAAACGCATTGTGTGTATGCATGGAGTTTTCAGAGAATTTATAAAAATATACAAAATATGACCAATAAAAATAGGTGATAGACATGTATAATATAATTTCTAAGTATGTAAGTGGTATCAACTTCTCCCTTCTTCTCCCCAGAGGCAGCTGTTGCCCCAGTTCCTTGTCCGTCTTGCAGAGGCAGTCTCTCTTCTACTTCTTTTCTTGACAGGATCTCACTATGTAGCTCTGGCTAGGCTGGAATTCGCTACATAGACCAGGCTGGCCTTGAACTCACAGAGCTCTACTTACTGCTGCCTCCCAAGTGCTGGGATCAAAGGTGTGTGCTACCATGCCCAGCATTGTCCTATTTATTTCTAATATGTAGTTCAATTACTTATTTATTTCAGGTGACTCCAGAGTTGATGATAAAAGCATGCACATTTTACACTGGACATTTAGTAAAGAGCCATTTTGGGTAAGAAAGTGTTTTCCCGTATTATTTCCTTGTCTTTGCTCTTTTATCCCTGCTGCTATCCACACAGAGGAAAACTAACTCTTTGCCAGCTGTGCTTCTCTTATATTTGATGAGCTATATTTAGTTAGAATACTCTTACTTTGAGATACAACTTGTCTAAAATCCTTGGTTTGGATATGTTTGGGAACCTAAATTCCCTTTTAAAATCACCATTAAGGTGATTCTCTGGGTAAATTGAAGCTATGAGACTGATGTTATCCCAAGATGTGTTTATTTTATTAAAAATATGACTGACATATAACATCTTAATTACCAGGAATTCTTCAAGATATACCCCAGTTTACAGGTTTGTGTGTGTGTGTGTGTGTGTGTGTGTGTGTGTGTACTATGTGTGTGGTGTGTGTGTGTACTATGTGTGTGTTGTGTGTGTATGTGTGTGTGTACTATGTATGTGTTGTGTGTGTATGTGTGCTGTGATTTTTTGAAGGATAAAAGGCATATCACTTCTTTTTTTTTGCATCTCACTTCTTATTCTTCTTAATTTATTTACTACTCTACTACCCTAGTCTCAAAGTACTATTTTGAAAATAATGTTTTTCTTTATCTTTTGCCTGCAGTGGTTGGAGGGAAGTCGCAATACCTCGTGTAAATCAAGAGGCTATCCAGGCTGAAAAAATGAACAGAGCAATAACACATTACAATTTTAAATGTCAAAAAAAATGTTTTACTCACTGGTCCTTTTATGTGAAAAGCACTAAAGAAAGGCTTATAGGTAAATGTAAACACCATAGGACTTAATTTTGGTGTTCAATTATGTAGTGAATCAACAAAGTAATAGTTAAACCTAGAGAGCATGTAATTTTCATGTGTAGAGAATTGTTATTAAATGAAGCAATTAAAAGTACTTACTGTAAGGCTAGGTGTAGTGGCACATGCCTAACAGCACTCAGAAACCTGTGACAGATGCAGCCTGGGCTGTCAAGTGAGACTAATGGTGGCCTCGCGAGGACAGCCTCGATGTCCCTCAGGGTTCAGGCAGGACAACGCTTCAGCAAGCAGGAGATTTAGAAAAATCTGAGGGTGAATGAATTTTCCCTTTTCCACACTGTTTCTTTATTGTTCTGTTTCTATTCTAATTCTCCTGCCCTATTTCTAATTCCTCCTAGCTGCTGCTTCTATTCTCAATACTCTCTCCTTTAGGAAACTTAAAGCAATGAAGAAATCACACGAGTTGCTTCTCATTGGTCAAGAGCATTCCTAGGGCCAGTGATAGGGAGTTGAGCCATTGCCATGGCAGCACAAGTTCACAGGCGTGTGAGACCGTGACCAGAGGGCAGATGGCACAGTGAAGTAAGCTTCGAGATGTTGTCTTTTGATAGCAGACTGGCAGGCAAAGCGTTGGCATGCTTTTCTTAGTAACCTTGGTTGGACATCTGCAGGTGTGACCTTGTGCATAGCTGTAAGGTTTTATACTTTTGATCTATTTACAAGTCTAGTTTGATCTTGCTCTGAGGTGAAAGTGAGCTAATTGTGTGCATTTAGTCTGAGCAAAAGAACAAGGCAGGCTGTTAAATGTCTACAGTCCTTGTGGGACAAATAGATCCAATTATGAAACATGTCCCAGTATATAGTCTACATATCAGAATTATACAGGCAAATGTAAAGCCATCTTCCTGACTACCCACAGATATATGGGCCTAGCAGATGGAACATTTTCATGATATAAACACTTAAGCAATGGGAAAACACTAAAAGCTATTCTATGGGAAGAAATTAAGTTCTTGGGGGAAGAAATGACTCATGAGAGAAACTACAGACAGGAGAAAGTGGTTTCCACAACCAGTAACCCCATGGCCATTCAAGGAGGGGTCCCTACCAGAGAATCACTTGTCTGGTAGGTCAGCCTGTTGAACACTAGTTATCACCTGACATGAGACCTTGTCATAACAAAACAATAACAAAACCTAATGATTTTGTTAGATTTGTTTTAAAATATTTTATTGCAATGGAAAGTACTCACAATTAAAATCAAATCATCCATTCATCCATACATGTATATATACATAAACATATTTGTATGTATGTATATATAAATAGCTTCCTTGTGTGGTACTGAACCTAGGGCATTGTACATAGCAAGCACTCCTCCATGGAGCTATATCCACAGACCCAGTTTTCCTTTGTAATTTGAGACTAAGCCTTGCTAAGTTGCCCAGTTGGGCCTTGACCTTGTGATCCCCTAGTTCCCTGGTAGCTGAGATCACAGGCCTCCAACACCAGGTCCAGCTACTTCAAGCATAATACAGAACCATTTTCTTTGATTGTGATGTATGGACAAGACATGTGTGATCTTGGCAGGATCAGAGGGCCCCAGCCTTTTGGTTGTAACTTTCTGTGTACTAACTTATACCTGTGGCTGTGACAAATGAGAGAAATCAGTTGATCTTGTGACAAGATCTTACCATGCAGCCTAGGATGGCCTTGGGGGCTCCAGACAGTTCTGCTGCTTCAGCCCTGGTGTTGAGATTACAGGTGTGAGTTACCCCACCTAGCTGAAAACCATCTCCTTTTGAGCACTGTTGTCTGTCCCTTCCTCCAAGTGAGCCGTGAAGGTTTTAGCATAACCGTAAGGAAGGGTTAGGGACTGGGTAACTGGCTGTCACGCCAGAGGTTGTCACAGTAGGAAACGATGCTTTTCACAGTGCTGAATGAACTGCCCGTCTTGAGAGTCAGGATGCCCTGCACTAATTTCTCGTCCTCTCTGCCCTTCCAGGCTCCTCTCGCCCCGCCCCTCAGCGCCATTCCAGTCGGCGTGGCCCCTCTCTCGCCCCGCCCCTCAGCGCCTTTTGCTGCTGCCCTTTGCTGCTCTCAGCTCCTCTAGGCTTCTCTTTGCCGTTCTCTCCACAGCCCGCACACTCGGGTGGAGCTCCTCGGGCTCCCTCTCCTTTGTCCCATCTCTGCTGTCCTCCTCCTCACGGTTTCTTTTCTGTAGTTCCCATCCCCAAAGGGCTCCATCCCTGTGCTGTCTTATGCCTCCCTAACCCACAATGCACAGTTACGTAGTTATAAAGTAGATTTTTATAAGCATACTTATAAAGCATAAGGTTATACTTATACCACCAAAATTTATACTTCTGTTTGTAATTTAAATCAAGTCATTCCAAAGTTACATCATCTTTGGGGGCTGGAGAGATGGCTCAGCCAGTTAGGAGCTCTGCTGCTCTTCCACTGTGGCAGCTCACAACTGTCCATCACTCCAGGGCCAGGGGACCTGATGTCCTTTTTTGACTTCCACGGACACCTGGCATGCACTTGGTCCCATGGACATACATGTAGGCAAAACAACACATTTAATACCTATAAAAATAAAAATCCCGAAGTTACATAGTCTTATAAAAAGACCCAAGTTACGTTTTTATGGTGATAGTTCATGGACATTATTCTTCTTTTTTCTACCTACAAGTCAAGCTGTGTTTGTTCTGTATAACACTTGATCATGAAAAACTTAAAGTTCTGATTATTGTAAAAAATTCCAAGTATTAAGCCTAAACGATACCAAAGTAGTATCATCAAAATGAACAAATAGTTTTATAGATTTCTAGTATTTAAATATTTTATTATATAGTTGTACTATGCGATTTCTTAAATGTCTAAGAAATGTTATATATGGTAATATTAATCGATATGGAAATGAGTTTTTGAAACAATGCTAATTCCTCTCAGAATGTTTAAACTTCATACTTGTTATAATTTAAGTGATACGAACTGAAATCAGCCTTAGCATTTACATGTATAAGAACATAATTTTGATAGCATCTCAAGCAAAAAGTATTTAACTGAAAAATGAATAGGAGAAATTACTGTTGTAACGACTCAGGCATTCTGCTGGCCGCCCCTGTCACCTGGCAGAATGCACTCAGGCAGTGCCCTGGTCAGCCCAGGGTCCATGGTTGCGTAGTCTGCACCCAGGAGCAAAGGACCCCTGCCCACTTATGCTCCCTTTCCTGATCCTCTCTCTTTCTTTCCCTCTGCTTCCTTAGGACAGACAGACTTTTCCCGTCTCCCTCTTCTCTTCTGTCCTCTCTGTCCCTTTACCTCTTTTCTCCCCCCTTCTAATAAAACTTCTCACTAAGCTCTGTGTGCCTGCCATGTTCGTGTGTCGTCGTCTGTCTGCCTGCCCACCCCTCGCCTGCCTTGGCATCTGTCGAGGTTCCCCACAGAAACCATCCATTTTAGTCTGACAGCGTTGACGCTTGTGAGCTAGCTTGTCTTTGAAAAGGTATTGGATAGGTGGGCAGACCTGGCTTTGGCACCGACTGTGTCAGGAGCTGGACGTAGCTGGCGTTGAGCTCTGCTGGCAATCGAGATGGCTTCAGTGCGAGGAAATGCAGGGTGTGGGGAGTTAATGAGAACACACCAGATGTGGCATCGGGAATGCACATTCCGCTCTCAGTCGGTAACAGCAGCCCAGTGGGAGAACTGGTCATTACCTAAATTAGCTGAGTTCTGACTTCTCGAAGGGTTTAGATTTTAGGACAAAACTGTGATGTTCGGTTCCAGGTAGATGCTCAGTGATGTTCAGGAAGGTTGGCAGCTAGAACCAAAGAACAAAGGCTTTAAGCGTTTTCACCTGTGATATTGGGGGATTGTGTTCTGTTCACACAACATTCAAATGAAAAACAACATTGCCAAGGGTTAAATATCAGAAGTATTCACATACAATTCAAATACCTATTTTCAGATGAAAACAAAACCCCAAGCCAAAGATAAAGAGAAAAAACCTGAACCTTAACTTGTGAGAAAAATCAGGGGAGCCTGCAGCCAGATGGTATAGCCAGTGCAGCCAGCACAAACAGTAGAGTCAGTGCAGCCAGTGAAGCCAGTGAAGCCAGTGACATCAGTGCAGCCAGTGGAGCCAATGCAGTCAGTGACGTCAGTGCAGCCAGCACAGTCAGTGCAGTCAGTGCAGCCAGTGCAGCCAGTGCAGTCAGTGCAATCAGTGCAGCCAGTGCAGTCAGTGCAGCCAGTGCAGCCAGTGCAGTCAGTGCAGCCAGTGCAGCCAGTGACGTCAGTGCAGCCAGTGCAGTCAGTGACGTCAGTGCCGTCAGTGCAGCCAGTGCAATCAGTGCAGTCAGTGCAGCCAGTGAAGCCAGTGCCGTCAGTGACGTCAGTGCAGCCAGCGCAGTCAGTGCAGCCAGTGCAGCCAGTGATGTCAGTGCAGCCAGTGAAGCCAGTGATGTCAGTGGAGCCAGCGCAGTCAGTGCAGTCAGTGCAGCCAAGCAGCCAGCGCAGTCAGTGCAGTCAGTGCAGCCAGTGCAGTCAGTGACGTCAGTGCAATCAGTGCAGTCAGTGCAGCCAGTGACGTCAGTGCAGCCAGTGCAGTCAGTGCAGTCAGTGAAGCCAGTGCACTCAGTGACATAAGTGCAGTCAGTGCAGCCAGTGAAGCCAGTGCAGTCAGTGACATCAGTGCAGTCAGTGCAACCAGTGCAGTCAGTGCAGCCAGTGATGTCAGTGCAGCCAGTGCAGTCAGTGCAGCCAGTGCAATCAGTGCAGTCAGTGACGTCAATGACGTCAATGACGTCAGTGCAATCAGTGCAGTCAGTGCAGCCAGTGATGTCAGTGCAGCCAGTGCAGTCAGTGCAGCCAGTGAAGCCAGTGCAGCCAGTGCAGTCAGTGCAGCCAGTGCAATCAGTGCAGTCAGTGACGTCAATGACGTCAATGACGTCAGTGCAATCAGTGCAGTCAGTGCAGCCAGTGATGTCAGTGCAGCCAGTGCAGTCAGTGCAGCCAGTGAAGCCAGTGCAGTCAGTGACGTCAGTGCAGCCAGCACAGCCAGTGCAGCCAGTGCAGCCAGTGCAGTCAGTGCAGCCAGTGAAGCCAGCGCAGCCAGTGACAGTGCAGTCAGTGCAGTCAGTGCAGAAGTGCAGCAGTACAGTCAGTGCAGCCAGCACAAACAGTAGAGTCAGTGCAGCCAGCGCAGTCAGTGCAGTCAGCGCAGCCTGGTGCAGTTAAAGAGCCTGTCTGCTCCCCAGCCTGTTGGTTTTTGCTGGCTCCTGTGTTTGAGTTATGTATCAGCAATCTGTTTAATTCTAGAACACATAATTCAAAGACATTGAATCTGAACACTATGTGGTGATTATGTTTCTTGTGAAATGCTTAGAAGTTCAAGTTTTGTAAAAGATAAATGTGTTTTTTTAAGAAAAATATATTTCTGTTGTATCTAATTTCTAAGAGCAAAGGGGATATTAAAGGTTTAAGAAGTTTCTAGAGCACTATCTAATGCTATCAACAGTGATTAATTTTAGTGTGATTAAAATAAAGCACAGTCAGATACATTAGTTTATTATTTTTAGAAGTAGCTTTCACTGCATGCAATAACCTAGTACATTTTCTGCAGCTTCACTGTTTCGGTTACGACAGATGTTCTTCCTCCAAAGGCAAAGAATTGTGCTAGCAAAATGGAAGGAGAAAGCCAGACTCAAATGCAAAATGAGAGAAGACGACTTGGTATGATAGTAGACATTATTTGTTTATTTTAATATTTTGCTTAAAGATATTGATGAGAAACCAAGTTCTGTTTAATTAATATTGAGATATTAGATGTCTAAGTTATGAGAATCTCTGATATGAATAAAATAAACATAGTAAGGAAGTAAATTCTTCCTTTTCTAAATAGGATTAAGTTGCTTCTCGTTTCCAACATTTAATATGTCACGGTTTCAGTAGTAAATTTTTAAAATTACTAGTGGCTAAACTTGAAGAATTATTTGTAACTAGGACACCCACCCATAATTTAAGCAATTAAAATAGAGGACCCGAGGAAACACCTGCAAATTTAAAACTACTTTCTTCTGCTTATGTTATTTCAGTATTTTATTGCTTCAATTGTTTTAGAATGTTCAAAGTACTTGAATCAGATGCAGAGATATGCTTGCGATTTTTGTCATTACATCATTTAATAGGCAATACTCTGTGAGTAGTCTTTAAAATACAAAGTTGAGATAAATAGGAAAGAGAAAAAAAGAAGTCGAAATTAAATCCTTGCCCTCCGAGAGCAGGATCAACAATCCCCCTCACCCACAATGTGTTAAGCTGTTGGACATGCAGAGAGAGTGTGTGTGTGACACTTGGCAAACCCTGGAGTCTGCCATGCACGAAGCATAGTTCTTATTTTTAGATGTGCACTACCTACAGATCTTGAATTGCTTTTTCGCATGCTGTCCTCTACCCTTCCCCATAGTGGAAGCCATGTCAACATCGCCAGTTGGCTGTCTTTGCCTTGGGTACCACGGTGCGTCTCCTCACACCATGCTTGTACACTTAGTGTACTACTGCCCTTTGCTGACCACTCGTGTTCCAGCATGAAGCAGTCGACGGTAGCCAACCGGCGCTCTTCTTTTACTCATGCTAATTGTCCCTGAGAAAAGTTGGGGTTCTTTTGAGCCTGATGTTTGGCATGCCCTGGTTGGCATGTAGAGTGTATATTAGCAGTTCTTTACTGTCCTTTATATATTGTGGTTAGCGGAGTGTTTAGGAATCCACTCCCCCTAGCTATACAGTTTCTTGGTCAACAATTGTATAGCGTGCAGCCAGTGAGTGAAGATAACAGGTGTGTGCAGGAAACCAAGGCAGGTGTCGCCTCTGCACGCTGGCTCTCCAGTGCGCACCCTTCCTGAGACTGCATGGTAAATACCTCATACTAAAATTATGTACATGGGCTTGGGAGAGGTAAGTGAAAAATACTCATTGACCCATAGACATGCTTTCTCATTACAGCTTTCAGGAAATGGGGCACATCAAAGTGTGGTTTGCTGCAATGATAAATCTGAAATTTCCCTCAACTCCTATCCTTTGGTTATCACCTTGCTAACACTTCCTTTCATGTCCCTAAACACTAGTGATTCCATTGCTCGACACCCCACTTTGCGACCCATAGTTCTTTTATTTCTAAAAGAGGAGAGGACTGCAGGCCTCTCAGGGGGGTGGTCTGTGCTTTGACAGCTAGTGTTTGTGACAGCTAGTGGAAATGGTCTGTAAAGGCTGAGATGGTTCAGGGAATTTTGTGTTTATGTGGGAATCATCACTTGGGTCATAATGATAACCAACAATGCATGCGTAACTGGCGCTGGTGTTATGACAAGTATGAGCTTTCTACGGAGCAATGCATTTGCCCCTTAGGACAGTTCCTTGTGTTATGTCAAGTATGAGCTTTCTATGGAGTAATGCATATGTCCCTTAGGACAGTCCCTTGGGATTTATAGCATATTTTCATTGCAGATTTTAAAACATGAACTTCAGTTGAAGAAATGGAAATATAGGGTGAAATCCAAAGAAACTGAGGGAAAACCCCTTAGCCATGAGCGGAGTTCCTCTGACACTGCTGTCACGATTGTGCCTTTAGAATTTGACATCTCTGCATTACCAGAACGAGCAATAATGCAGGTGTGTAGGACTCTGTTGACTATGGTAAGGCCTTGCAATTTGTGGATAGCGTGGAGTTAGGGTGAGTATGTGTTGCCTGTAATTTGCTTCTTTATGATTAACCTGCTCATGTCCTGTCTTTCTATTGTAATTCATACTTGTTTGTTATAGCCTTTAATGTATTTTGCCAACATTAACCCTTTATAATTATTTGAGTATTTCCTTCCATCATACTGAACACTGTCTCTTTTGCCTCCAGAGTATTTTGATGGCAGGAAATTTAAAGCATTACATAGTGAAGTCTCTCACTCTCACCCTAATATTTCTCTTCAAGCCACATTAGTAAGCCACTCTCAGTGGATTTTCTCAGTGATATCATACTGTAGACCAATATACAGCTGTTTTTTCTGTGACCTTTTGTGTCTTTGCAAATATTTCCTTGTTTATCAGGGCTATTGTTTTACATTTTAAGATACCATAGATGACCTTTAAATAATATCATGTTCCTTTGCATAAGCACCCATGACACCATGCTCATGGGCTCCCTTTTGTGATTTTAGTTACTTTTGAATAGGTCTGCTTCTATATATTCAGAGCTCTGCAGCTATGAAGTTGTATTTGCTTTCACCATTATCACTCTCCAGCAATTTTTATTTTTGATAATCTAGGGCTTGCAGAAGGTTCAGGGACAGAAAGGAGTTGTTTTCCTGAAGAACTGAACCAGGATATTCTCTTTCAGTCAGCAGTCAAGGTCAGCAGACTCAGCCCTCTTTCCTTGGTTTCCCAGGGCTTCTAGCAGGAGAGACCGGTCCAGATTGCACACTGCACTTGGTTGCTATGTCTTCTTGATTTCCTTCAACCCAGAGTAGTTCCAGCATTTAAGTTTTGTACCCTTGAAATGAAAATTAGGCAACTTTTTTAATTATAGAGCATCTCTCAAATTTGGCTTGTTTTGTGTTTTCTTATGAGTAAATGCATGCTATGTTTTTTCATTAGAATACGCAGACATGACTATCCTGTGTTTTCTTTTCATCCTCTCTGTAATATAGGATTTTGTTTAGGCAACTGTGCTCTCCTTGGCATCCAACTGCCTTGGGCTCTACAATAGATCCCTCTATTGGCTTTTTGTATGTTGCTTTTATTATGTTTAGGTATGTCCTCGTCTCCCTGATCTCTCCCTAGATTTTTGTCATGAAAGGGTATTGGACTTTTTTGTCAAAGGCTTTTTTTTTCAGTATCTAATGAGATGATCATGAGTTTTCTTTCGGTTTGTTTATATGGTGGATTACATTGACAGATTTTCATATGTTGAACTATCCCTGCATCTCTGGGATGAAGCCACTTGATCATGGATTCAGTTTGCCATCATTTTATTGAGTATTTTTGCATCAATGTTTATGAGGGAAATTGGTTTGTAATTCTCTTCCCTTGTAGAGTCTTTGTGTGGTTTGGGTATCGGGGTGACTGTTGCCTCATAGAAAGAATTTGGCAGTGTTCTTCCTGTTTATATTTTGTAGAATAATTTAAGGAGAATTGGTATTGATTCTTTCTTGAAAGTCTGGTAGAAGTCTGTGTTTAAACCTTGTGGTCCTGGCCTATTTGGGGGGGGTTTGGGGAGACTTGACTTAATGGCTGCTGCTGTTTCCTTGGTGGTTATAGGTCTTGATTTAACTTTTGTAAGTGGTATCTATCAAGAAATTTATCCATTTCTTTTAGATTTTCCAATTTTGTGGAGTATAGGTTTTTGACTCTCTGGATTTTCTTGGAGTCTATTGTCATGTCACCCCTTTTGTTTCTGATTTTGTTAATTTGGATAGTCTCTCTCTCTGCCTTTTGGTTAGTTTGGATATGGGTTTGTCTATTTTGTTGATTTTCTGTAAGAACCAACTCTTTGTTTCATCTCTTTGTTTCTATTTCATTGATTTCATTCCTCAGCTTATTTCCCTCTGTCTACTCCTCCTCGATGTGTTTGTTTCTCTTTGTTCTAGAACTTTCAGGTATGTTGTTAAGTAGATATTATGAGATCTCTCCAAATTCTTCATGAAGCACTTAGTGCTAGGAACCTTCCTCTTAGCACCATTTTCATTGTGTCCCAAAAGATTGATTATGTTGTGCATTCGTTTTCATTGAATTCTAGGAAGTCTGTAATTTCTTTCTTGACCCAGTGGTAACTCAGTAGAGAGTTGTTCAGTTTCCTCAAGTTTGTACTTTTTCTTGTTTCTGTTGTTGAAATCCAGCTCTAATCCAAGGTGGTCTGAGAAGATACTGGGGGTTGTTTCCATTTTTTTTCCTGTGTCTGTTGAGACTTACTTTGTGGCTGAGTATGTGGTTAATTTTGGAGAAGGTTCCATGTGGTGCTGAGAAGAAGGTATATTCTTTTGTGTTTGGATGAACTGTTCTGTAGATATATGTTAGATTCATTTGAGTCATAATGTCTGTTAGTTCTGTTATTTCTCTCCTTATTTCCATTGGAGAGAGTGGGGTGTTAAAGTCTCCAACTATTATTGTGTGTGGTTCCATGTGTGGCTTAAGCTTTAGTAAGGTTTCTTTTACAAAGGTGGGTGCCCTTATATTTGGGGCACAGATGTTCAGATTTGAGACATCATCTTGCTAGATTTTTCCTTTGATGAGTATGAAATGCCTTTCTCCATCTCTTTTGATTAATTTTGGTTGGAAGTCTATTTTGTTAGATATTATGATAGCTACACCATCTTGCTTCTTAGATCCGTTTGATTGCAAAATCTTTTTCCAACCCTACTCTGAGATAATGTCTGTCTGTCTTTGTAGTTGAGATGTGTCTCGTGTATGCAGCAGATGGATAGATCCTGTTTTTGTATTCATCTGTTAACTTGTGTCTTTTTATTGGTGAATTGAGTGCATTGATACTGAGGGATATTAATGACCACTGACTGTTAATTCTTGTCATTTTGTTGTTTGGTGTGTGTTTGTGTGTGTTTTCTCTTCTTTGGGTTTTACAGGTGTGAGATTATCTATCATCTTTTTTTTGTGGGTGTAGCTAACTTCCTTAGGTTGCAGTTTTCCTTCTAGTACTTTCTGAAGGGCTGGATTAATGGATAGATATTGTTTAAATTTCATTTTGTCATAAAATAATCATGTTTTATCTATGGTGATTATCATCCATGGTGGTTGAAATTTTCACTGGGTATAGTAATCTGGGCTGGCATCTGTGGTCTCTTAAAGTCTGCAAGGCATCAGTCCAAACCCTTCTGGATTTTAGGGTCTCTGTTGAGAAGTTGGGTGTGATTTATATGTTACTTGGCCGTTTTCCCTTGCCGCTTTTAATATTCTTTCTTTGTACTGTTTGTTTAGTGTTTTGATTATTATGAGGCAAGGGGGGATTTTCTTTTCTGCTCTTATCTACTTGGTGTTCTGCAAACTTTTTGTACCTTTCTAAGCATGTACTTCTTTAGGCTGGGAACATTTTCTTCCTTGATTTTGTCAGTATATTCTCTGGGTTTTGGAGCTGGGTTTCTTCTCTTTCTTCTATTCCTATTGTTTTTATGTGGTCTTTGGTCTTTTCATAATGTCCCCGATTTCCTGGATGTTTTGTGTTAGGATTTTTCTTTTAGATTCACCATTTTCTTTGACTGAAGAACCTATTTCCTCTATTAAAACACCTGAGATTCTCTCTTCTGTCTCGTGTATTCTGTTGATGATGTTTGCATCTGTGGTTCCTGTTAACTTGCCTACATTTTCCATTTCCAGTATCCCTCAATTTATATATTTTTATTTACATATAAATCCTCCCATTCCCTCACTCTCCCATCCTCCCATGCTCCACACCCACCCCCCACCCACTGCCCAAGGATAGTGAGGTAGTTTTCTTACCTTCTTCTATACCTATTATTCTTAGGTTTGGTCTTTTCACGGTGTCCCATATTTCCTGGATGTTTTGTGTTAGGGATTTGTTGGAGTTAAGATTTTCTTTGCTCAATGAATCTATTTCTCCTAGTGTATCTTCAACACCTGAGATTCTCTCTTCCATCTGTTGTATTCTGTTGGTTACTACTTGCATCTGTAGTACTTGACCGTTTGCCCAGCTTTTCTATTTCCAGCATTCCTTCAGACTGTGTTTTTTTATTGTCTCTATTTCAGCTTTCAACCCTTGCACTGTTTGAATTGTTTCCTGCAATTTTTGCTTTATCTTTTCCTCTCTTTCTTGCATTTGTTGGATTTTTTGGTTTGTTTTTTCTTCCATTTCTTTAAGGGATTTTCTCATATCCTCTTTGAGGGCCTCTGTCATTTTCATGAAGTTGTTTTTAAGGTCGTTCTCATCTGCTTCATCTACAATGGGCTGTTCAGGTCTTGCGGGTGTAGAGTCTCTAGCCTCTGGCGGTGTCATATTGATTTTTCTGTTGCTGGGTGTGTTTTTATATTGTCTCCTTCCCATTGTTTCTATCTGTGGGTGCAGAAGGAGTCTCTTCCTATCCTGGTGGGTATGTGACCACAGTTCTTTTCCTGTGGGTGGGAACAGGTCCAATACCCTGGTGGCTTTCCTCTTGCTTGGATGGAGGCCATCCTAGTATCAGGGCCCTGGCAATCTCTGGACCCTTGCCTGTCCCGTGGGTGGAGAATGAGACTTGAACACTGGCAGTCTCTGGACAAGCTGGCTCCTGCCAGGATGGGAGCTGCAGTGTGTGGTACCCTCGGCTGGTTGTGCACAGACCACTGGAATGCAGGCTGTAAACAGGCCCAGGCCTATCTAGCCCCATGGGTGGAGAGAGGGACTATGGTGCTGGCAGTCTCGGGTAGACTGAATCCCACTGGGTTGGGATCCGCTGCACAGTCCCCAGGTCTCCGGTGGTTCTGCTCAGGGCACCGGAAGGCAGGCTGGAGACAGGCCCATGCTTACCTCACCTGTCCCGTGGGTGGAGAATGGGACTTGGAAGCTGGCAGTCTCTGGGATGGCTGAATCCCGTCGGGCTGGGATCCTCCTGGTGCAGTCCCCAGGTCTCCAGTGGTTCGGCTCCTTCCTCAGTTTCTTTAAGGGATTTTTTTTT